AATGCATCAATCACATTTCCTTCTCTTTAAATTGATTAAGAACAATACATCCTGTGAGGCAGGTGACCCCAGCTAAAAATGGAGGATACAGCAAAAAGCAAGCAGCAAGGAGCAGAGAAAACTAACAAGAAGCAACTAAAAACACCAGACTTCCTTGTTGAAGATCTCCATTAGGATGTATTGTCAATACCCCGGCAGTTCCCCCAACTCAGTTCCCCCACAATGCATTGGAATACTCCTCTTTGGTTATCCCCACCCAAAGCAGAGGGAAAATTTAAAGAGGAGGGAGGCAAAARCAAAAAAGACAAGGCACCAAGCCAGGAAACTGGCTAGTGAAGGACCCAAGGCCTGTGCGTACAAGCACTGGATGCAAAAGCGCAAGCTTGCAATTATAAAGGGCAACATGGAGATGATATGGCACCCAGCATYGAAGGCAAGGGAAGCTGTAAAGTTGACCAARGAACAGCAACTTGATCCAGGCATTGGATTGAACAAGATTCAAATAGTTATGGATACCTCTGCGCCTCCTCCCAAACCTCCTGAGCTCCCTCCACCAGAAATAATTGATGATCCTTCCCCCCCTCAAGTACAGTTCCTTCTCAACCAGGAGTGGAAGTGGGTGGAGAATTGGGAATGGGACAGRAACGTACACTTTATGCATTCAGTGTGCAAAAGAGTTTGCTTATGATGAGTGGGGTAATCCATACTTTACAGATCAATGCTTCCCTTGGGACTCAGACAACTTTGAGGAGGAGTTGTATCAGATCACCATGAGAACTAGTAACCAAATAAGGAACCAAATAAGGAACTGGATCAGCCACAAATTCAGCAAGCAAGTCAGCAATCAAATCAGCAATGAACAAGCAACAACTGTATCAGGAACTGAATAGAACTATCCATATTTAAACTAATAAGTATTATTTTGTTTATTAGTAGACTTAGTCTATCAATCTGAAACTTCCGGATCAACTCTAATCTATTGTAGTATTTAAGGACGTTCGCTCAACACACTGGTTGTCTATGTTATAGAGGTGAAGATGGTGTTTTTCTTGTTACACTGCAGCTTYATTTCTTCCAATTTTTTGTTGATTTTGCTACTGGTAGTTACAGCCCTGTTCCTTTTAAACCACTTTGTCMATCGATCTGATACTTCCAGATCCTTTTCCCCTTAATGTAGTAGTACTAAGGATTAGAACACTTCTTGTCGTGTGAGCGTGATTTGTTGGGTACTATTGATGAAGAACTAAGGAGGTGACAGCTTTGCTTGTTTGTTGAGGTTGATTAAATGAGATTTTTTTCAACAAGCC